ATTTTACCAGCTCCCCCCCAACCGCCCAAACCCCCCAAACCCTGCATCCCGCAGAGAGAGCATTAGCCACACATGTCGAGGTTACGGAGGGAAAATACACGCAGGAGAAGGGTCACTGCCTCGGTCGGACTCCCAGAGCTTTCAGGGCGGGAGGTTTGTGTTGGTGTTTTGGTTTTGCGGCACTGGAGGAGATGTCAGGACTGAGATAAAGGCCAGAAAGGAGAGACACATGGGGTTGACTTGATAGTAGAGGGTATAATACAGCGGCAGGATTGGCTGAACCCAATTCAACATAATGACAGTAGAAAATGCCATAAATTGCTGATTTTAAGAAGCTTTCTAGATCTTAATCTCCCCAAATGATGCACATAGCAGCTTCATGTTGCGACTTTATTTATGCAGGCTTTCAGTGTTGGTGCAGGCAATACTATCAACAGCTATTCCTGGTCAAAATGTTTCCTAGAACATGGCGTCTGCCTTCAGAAAATGAATGCTGACATAACAGAGAAACCAAAACATCAGGTTATTATAAAACAAAGACATTTCCTCACTAAAGCCAAACATTTCTAATGATACAATTCTGTTTTTTGTCTAATAGAGCACGTAAGATGAATCTATTAAAGGATAAATTATTTCCCACTTTAATAATCTGACCTGTTGATATAAGTTGTACTCGGACACCTCGGACTCTGCTCTGTGAGATAGTTTACTCAGGTTTAACTGGAATGAGAGGCTAAGAGGTCTTACTGGTGCAACAGCTGGGCCTTGATCCACAGCTCCCAATCCCAGTCCAGACTCTTTAGCGTTCCCCTGCTCATGTGTTGACATTAGCCCGGCTGAGGCCCAGCTTCCTTTCATGTCTCAGCGTTTGGTAGAAAATCCACATAACAGCAGTTGTTTTCCCGCTCTATTTAAAGTTTTCGTGTTGAAGTGGTTTTGTGATGGCCCCGGGTCCCTGAGAGCTGCTCCGTCTGATTCCTGGTGACATTTTTAGAATATCATTGTATTTGTTTGTAGACCCTTTTCAGCACAGTGAACGCCAAGGAGGACTGGGGAATCTCAAACATTCATGACATCATATGGTTTGAAGGCCAACTGGAGGGGGATATTGGACTGAGGAACATAAATAAACCAGGACTGTTTTCAGCAGGAACTTTCACAGCCTCCGAATGCTTGAAATCAAGTGCCGGTGCCTGAAAAACCTTCCTGGGTGCAGTGTTTCTGTAACTTAACTCCACATTTGTGCTTTTGCAAAGCATTTCTTTCTTTGAAATAAACTACCATTAAAGGTTTTTATTTTGTGGTCAAGAGTCTGACTCAGCCTCAAGCCTCAATATTCCCAGTTTTTAAGTTTTCTCCAAAACTAATGTCCATCATCGTGTCTTAAGTTAGTTTTTACAGAAGTGTGTTTTTTATCCATTAACAGAGATGTGCACTTTCCCTTTGGTCCATCGGAAAGTACAAACGAGATCTTTGATGTTCAGGTTTCAGGCAATCAGTGGTGATGAACGAGGGAGAGGAGGTGAGGCGGAGGCTTTTGGCTCAGAGCCCTAGTTTAGAAATGAGCTAGTAGCTCTGTGGGTCAGAGTGTGTGAGTGTGTGTGAAGAGGAGAGGGAGGAGTGGATTAAGGGTGGAGGGAGGGAAAGCACAATAAGATAGTGTGCCACTGTCAGATGCGTCTTTCTCTCCCCTCAGCGGAGGGAGGGCGGGCGGCACACGCTGCCCACAAAGAACATGGATGTACGTGTGTGTGTGTGTTTTAGTGTGTGTGAGGGTTGGAGGGGTCTTTGGTGGTAAAAGAGCCTTGAAAAGTGTGCTGGTGGGAGGAGGGAGACCCCTCTCTTTTCTTTCTCCACCCAAACTTGATCCGAGCGTCAGATTCCTCTGGTAGTGCACATCGGGAATGTCCATATGGTCCCGGCTGGTAAACAGCACACGCCTTCTCTTTGTGCACGTTACAATGGGACATCTTCCTTTGTTTGGTTCCTTTTTGTCACATCAAAGAGCCAGACGTCAGCCGCTGTCCACATCAGGATGAATTTTCTTTGTATGTCTCTTTTACTTGTGAAAATCACCCATGAATGATTTTGTGTATAACTTGCATTTGAATTGTAAGACTATATTCTTCGTATTGTCAACAAATCCCATCAAATGACCAAAACCAACAATGTGTTGTCTGTCCCTCCATCCTGTGGCCCACTGGTTCCTACTGAAGGTATACATATTTATCACATACAAAAGAAAGTCCTAAAACAGCTCATTATTTAATCAGGTGATCAGGACCCGAGCTACCAGTTTGTAGGGAGTACAGGGAGAAAACCTACAGAAACCGGTGGGACATCTTGAGATCTGGTCTGGTGAGCAGTGGCTTTAAATTTGAGAATAGATTTCAGTTGTGTTACCCTTTCAGAAGCAATAGAAATATGTAGCATTAGCAGCGTTAGCTTTTGCAGATACATTGACAAAGAAAAGGCCTTTTAAACTCTCCAGAGGATATTTCAAAAAAGGCATCAGATACCATTCACATGTTTTGATTGACAGGCGACCTGGGACATCCTGATGGCTTATTAGTGGTTAAGACTTATGCACCTTCCACAGCCCCGCCCCTTTTTGCTCTGTGCTCCAATAACAGTTGAGCAAGCCTCGGTAAACTTTCTCTTAGCCTCTACTTCGATATGCTAAATTAGCTATCTGTGTGTCTATATATATATATTTATATATATATATGTGTGTGTATGTAGGTTTTATCTTTTAACCATCTTCAAAATGTGTCTAGCAAAAAAGGGGCGGGTCTTAGGAAGGGTCAATTGCAACTTCCCTGGTTTGATTTGACCTTTGATGCATGTCGTTCTCCTTCGCCATGTTTCCAGTCCGTCTTCATCTGTCAGTAAAAGTCTCAGGGAAGTTCAGAAACCGCCAGACAAAGTTTTATAAACAGGAGTCACACTGAAAGATCAAGTTTTAATTTACATATCAACAAAGTAAAGAAAGACGAGTCTGACAGACTCTATGTGACAAAGTCGGGATCAAAGATGAGCTGCTTTATGAGTTTCCTCTGAGCGTCAGATTTATCTCTCCCCAGGAGATCCCGGGCCCTTTTGAATCGTGCAGTTTCCCTCTTCAGAGAGAACGGCTGAGGGTTTAGAACAACACAGCTCCCCTCTGATCCGCTGCTGACACTGCAGACCTGAGCTTTACCCTGCGTGTGTGTGTGTGTGTGTGTGTGTGTGTGTGTGTGTGTGTGTGTGTGTGTGGTGGGGGGGGGTACTCTCCATCCATTCATCCGCTAACTTTTTCCCAGCCAGGTGCCCCCCTCTTCTCCGCACCAGGACGCCTCTGTCAGAATGAGGGCTTGTGGGTCAAAGGTTGTTCGTATGTCTGGTTCAGAAAGGGGAGGGGCATCTCACAGAAGCGCAGCGTTTGTTTTTCCCATTAGCATTAGCTTGTCACGCTAATGAAGAGCGGCACATGTGGCTATGCGATTAAGAGGGAATCCACTTTGAGGGGCCCCTCAGTTCTTCTTGCTTCGTTTGGTACTACTAGTTTGAATTTTCCTTCTGATTAGAAACACTGTAATACGATATGTTATTTTAACCCCACAAACATTGTTGAACTGGATTACACTGAAACATTTCAAGTCACACAAACTACATTTTTGAAAGTTACAAAACAAGAAGATGATGAACTAACTGAACTTACAGAAAGATTCCTGGTCCAGAATGTTTTTTAACTTAACTAAATTGATTTAGTTTTACTTAAAACATTTTATGTGATCAGTTTCAGCATTTTTTGAGTTAAATTAACTTATCTGATTTTAAACTTAAATATAATCTTCAATATAATCTTAAAAAGAGACGGTAGAAACTGCAAGGATGGTCCATGTTCTGTATCGCAATCCACATTGGCAGAAACAAATCCTTTCTAAATGTGTACCCACTATTTTGGTACTGTGGTCACATCCAAAGCCAAGAAATATTAAGATTAAGATACCAAACCTCCAAACATACAGTTAAGACTCAGACTTTCTCCCTAAATCCCCCAAATTCTCTGCTAATTCTCCACAAACACAGCAGAGAGGGGAAACTCCAGTGATTAAATATCCAGCTGCTGGCTGAGGGCGAAACACTGTAGCAACCAGGAGCAGTAAACTCGACAGGTCAACAGGTATAAAAGTGTTTTCTGACTCTGTTTTCAGTCACTAAAGAGCATCAATAAACATGCAGCTTTACTGGCCTCCTGGGAGACCACAGCCTGGATGCAGGTACAGATTTCTGAAACCCAACACTGCACAGTTTCCAGGACAGCTGAGACCCTCCTATTGACCAGAGAAATGTCAATGCCATGGTAATGCCATGGTGACAACAGATGAAGGCTAATACAATTTCTTCTGCCATTAGCAAAGTACAAGGTGTAACATTATATGACCTCAAAATCCCATCTTACAAAATAATATCACCTCAAAATCCCATCTTACAAAATAATATCATCATGGAAATGAACAAAATACAATACTGAAGTAGTTTTTTCAGGTAGCTGTACTTGAATATTGTTGAGCTTTTTTGCTTTACCCCCTACATTTTATTAAAACACTTAAGTCACATTAGTTTTAATGCATTTGAGAGGAATTATCGATTTTTTTCTTCTTCTTTTTGCATTAGTGTACACCTCCGTATCAAGACCTTGTGCATATCGCACATGGACAGATATAATAAGACGAAACATACTTTTTTTACACAAGTATCTGAACTTGTACTTCTACTTGAGTAAAGAATGTGTGTACTTCAGAGATGTTTTCTATCAACAGAAGGAAAACAGTGATGATGGAAGCCCTGTTCTTCCTGTTTCTTCTTGTTTTGCAAGCAATTTTGGTGATTGTTTCAACTGCCCTTTGTGGTGAACCGCCCATCTGGTTTGAAGTTGTATTGATATTTCTTCTGTAAGGCGTTAACTCCTATGTCTAACAAGTAAAACTAATATATCTGTCTTTCTTTTCCTGCAGGGTGACCGGGTGTGGTTACGGGAGGATGAGCAGTATCTTCCCAGCACCGTGTCCTCGTGCTCTGGAGGTGTTGTTGTCTTTGCCACAGACTATGGGCAGGTAAGGTTCAATCCTATCAAAGAATGTTTACACAAACTTGGGAGCGTTTCCTGCATTTTGACTTCAGGATCTTGGTTTACGGTTTCCTGGGCCATGGTGTCCTTCCTGTCTCCGGGGCCCCTGCTCCTGTTGCAGGACTTTCTGATGGAAGTATTGGAGTGGGATAGCTGGTGCTGAGCGATGGTCAGATGTGAGGCTCCAGGCTGTAACTCATCATTCAGCTTCCAAGAATGCACTTTGTTGCTCATAAATTAAGATTAGTATTTGGGAAAGGAACTTGTGTTATTGTTACTAAAGTTTAAACCGGGTTGCGTGACGTCTTGACAAGTCTAAAAAGAACAAGTAAGACATAAAGTCCATGAAGTGAAGAAGGTAGAAGCAGAAAAACAACCCGTCACGTGACAAAGAGAAATTACAAAGAACTCATTTGCTCATTTTCTCATGGTCTTGTTTGAATGGGTCGCTATGTCTTATTTTCCTGACGTCCAACAGTTTGGTTCTACAAGACTTTGGATCAAGAACAAACTCTCCACAGAGATTCAGTTCAGCTTGGAAACTGCATTTTTTTGGAAGTGGAGAAACTGAGGTGATTCTATAGAGCTCTTGTATTTGTGTTTGTCTTTTTGAACTGATTATAGTCGCAATATTAGGCTGCATGATTTTTATTTTATTTTTGATCTGATTTACGTGGCATTTACAGTCCTTCAGATATGGTGAAGTAACAAAAATGCACTTTTAGTCCACAAATGAGTTTTTCTCTGACTGCCTACTTGGCAGAAAAGCCCTAAGGACCTGAATGTCCCACAGAAACACAAACACCAGGCAGAGTTAACCCTTCACTCTACTGACAAGGGCTATTCCTGTCTTTCCACCACCTCTTCTGACACTGTCGTAAACCTCCGAGAGAGCAACGGCTCAAAGAGGTCCACTCATAATTTGGGATCAGCTCAAGATGCGGCAAATCCCCTAAACCCCATCTGGTTCTACCTCTTTGATCCATGTGTTGCCAAAACAACGGATGCAGACAAGGTGAAGGACATATGGAACACGGGTTACTGTGCCATTTATGTATGTTTCAGGTTGTTTTTTAAGCATTAACATGAATTAACCAGTTGAGCAGTTTTGAGGTTAAATTGACATGAAACATTTGGCCGTGGTTAGCTGTGATTTATCCTCTGTAAGGTGTTAAATTCCACAGATTTTGGATTGACTGCACCATTAAGACACCAAGACGTGTATCTTCACACGGTGGCAATCATTTGCTTTTGAAGCTTTGCTTTGACTTCAAACACTCAAGCGATCATGTGGAAGACAAACTAAGCTACCAGCAGCAGTGTTCGACTGATACGGGTTTTTCAATAGACGGAGAGCAGGTCTGCTGTTGGCCAATATATAATGCCCATAACAAAACAAAGAGTCATGTATGGTTCTATTCTATAGGAAATTCTGTCATATGTTTACAGCATGATGTATAAGAGTACAGTTTAATCTTGCGTCATTTTGCAGGGTTCTTCCACAATGTAAGCTTATGGGGAAAAGTCTGTCTGGTCACTGTGCTCTTCCTCAGGGGTTCCACAAGGCTGCGTGCAGATGTGTCTGAAGACATGTTTTGTTTATCGGCCTTGTGAGCACAGACATCGGTCGATGCTGATTATCTCAAAATGACGGATTTTAACCGATAAATCTACACCTATCACTAGACCTTGTAGTTAGCATACTGTGTATGACTTCTGTGGTGCACACACACACTGCTGGTCTGCCCTGTAGAAAACCAACACAGCTCTGCTATCAGCTAGTTTACGACTCCTGCAACACCCTGGAAAGGCACTTTGGATGTGAGTTTGCTAAGAGGTGTCGAGCACTGCAGCGCTTTCAGTCACGTCAGTCGAGTATTAGATGGAAATCAGCTCTTTAAGTTTGTCCGATAATCTATAAAACTCTGAGGGACACTGAGATAAACAGGCAACATCGTTTTCACTGGTATTTCTCAAAACCAGAGGGAATACCTGTGCAGGGTTTAGTTGGATGGTTTGTTCAAGTCAAACTTTGTTTTAGCATCAATAATGTTGAGTTAACTCAAACTAAGCAGGAATGTGTTGATCTGACCCTCTTAAACAGTGGTCTTTTGGTGTTTCTCAGTAAGGGTAGGGATGGTTCACAACTCACAACACCTGAAGGATCCTCAGAAGGATCCTGATACAAAGTGTCTTGACGTTATATTTTGATATCTAGAATAATTTCCTACCTTAGGAAGGCTGAACTTCAGTGAGTTTAGACTACTAACTGCCACCTCCTCTCCAGTTTTAACAGAAGCCAGATTCACAGAGACAGCAAACTGTTTGGGTGGATTTACTCTCCACTAACCTCCTGTGCTGACAGCTTTAACAAAGACTTCCTGTGTAGCCGGTGAGCAGCAGAGGGTCACTACCAGAAGACGGCCTGTAAATGTGAGCGCTGAGGGATTTAGGGTCATGTTGAGCCAGCGTATTGTCCTGAAGATTTACTGGCAGATTAAGGCATTCTTATCTCCGGGCTCCTACTCACTCAGAGACTCTGTTAGACCTGCTGGTCACTGGAGCTAATGACCCTCCACAGCACAGTTTACAGTCTCAGCCAGAGGATGTTGAGCCGAGTCGTGTAGAGCTGATGTCAGACTTCAGGTGGTGCTTTGTGGCTGTTTTTAGCCACACAAGCGGTTTTTACACTATGGTCATTAATGACTCTAGCGCCACCATGAGGTTGAGATTTTTGCTTTTTAATTAAATGTTTAATGAAATTTGATTCATTCATGTTCCCCTCCGGATGAACTGTAATATTTGAGATCTTTTATCAAGTTATGTATCGCCATCATCAAATTAAAAACTTTGTTTAATAGTTTTATCACCAATTACCTGCAAAAACAACTGCTAACATGCTAAACTAAGATGGTAAACTTTAGCTGCTGAACATCAACATGTTTTAGCTCAAAGCATGGCTGCCGCACAGAGCTGCTAGCATGCCTGGAAACAAACCTGGAAACCACTTCTCTTTGTTCTGATGTCTGAACCTGTCCATCACTTTTTAATCATTTTCTTCTCTTTTCTCATCCTTTTATATTTTAACCTCTTTGTTTCTCTTTTTGTCCCCTCTCTTCTTTTTGTCTCTCCTTTTCTGTTGTGTCTTTTGTTACTTCTTTAGTCCGTTGGTTGTTTCCTTTTTTTCTTATCTCCTTGATGCATTACCTTTTGTCTCTTGTCATTAACTTATTTTACTCTTGTTTCTCTTTTCGTCTCTTCTCTTCAGTTTGTCTCTGCTTTCTAATCTTTTTCTTCTCCCCCTTCTTCATTTTATCTCTTCTTGTTTCTTCTTTCTGTCTCATCTTACTCTTTGTCTTTGCTTCTCTTCTTGTTTGCTTTGCTTTTTATCTTGTCTTCTCTTCATTTACCTTGTCTCGCTTTTACTTCTCGTGTCTTTGTTTCCTAGTCTTCATTTTTTTGTCACACTGTAAAACCTGACAACACATCCTTATAAGGTAACTTAAATCAAAACTCATTCACATGAATTAAACCCAACTCAAAAATGAATTGTTGAGGCAACTCACTTGTTTTAGTGAACTTAAATGTGTGCAGTGTTTTAATTATTGGTGATATAATTCCAGTTTGTTCCATTGAATCCTTTTCTGTAAGTTGACTTTATATCATTATAAAAATATAAGCATTGTAATACTGTATATCTTCTTAATGATCCCCCAAACTGTAAAGAGTTGATGTTGAGTTACTTTAAAAGCCACAGAAAATAATTGGCTTCCATTTTGATGATCAATTAATTATAAATTGTTTGTTGTCAGCTGTTGTGACAGGTAATGTGATAATTCCTTTAGTAGAAGAAAAACTAAAAAGAACACATTTAAACACATTTAAAATTTTAACATTTGTATAAAGAAGAAGCATCTAAGTTACTTTATTCAGATAAATTCTGTGAACACAATTTTAAATAAGTTTGGAGGAATTCTGCATATGTGTACAATATACTCACTAGTTTTAAGTACAGTAAACTTAATTTATGCAAGTTAACTTCACAATAAATACATAAGTTACTCAAGTTCAGTGTTCATAAAGTTGCTGTTGGTCCAAGCAGACTGGGAGGTTTTAGAGTTGGGAAACAAAGGCAGCACGAGACACTCACACTCAATCTGTATAAAGAGCTTTAAAAGAATTAGCATTAGCCGCTCAAAATCAACTTTATTCCAATGCAAACAGTGAGCTGAGTGTCAGATGGACGGAGCAGCCTTACAGAACCGTCCTGTTATAGAAGAGTCTCAGGTTCAAAACCTGAAACAGACCATGTAGTGTGTGCAAGGCGGTGAACTCCAGCTGCTCATGGGACAACTCATGATGCAAAAAAGTGTGTAGTTAGTTCTTTTGTGTCTGCCCGTCATGTTGTGTGTTTGTGAGGATTGTGTGTTTTCATCCAGAGATTGATATGCAAAGGTGTGTTTCTTTGAGTGTGTGTGTGTGTGTGTGTGTGTGTGTGTGTGTGTGTGTGTGTGTGTTTGTGCGTCTGCCAGCCGTCTACTGTGTGTAACTGGAGATGGATTGTCACCTGTTAAGCTCAGAGCAGATGTTGCTCACTGCTATAAACCCCTCCCACTTCAGTGTGTGTGTGTGTGTGTGTATACGTGTGTGTGTATTCATGCATATTTCAAGTATATTTACACTACCAATAGATTACACTGTATATGTCTCTGAGTGTGTTATGACGTTGGAGTGTGTGTATATTTATGTTTCTATCTATGTGAGCACATACAGTATGTTAGTAGTCTCACTCTTAAAGCAGCGAATTAGATGTCGGAACAACTTCTGGTCCTGGCTGCCATTAGGGATGAGCGAGTACACAATTATCTGTATCTTTTCCCCCAACTAAATCATCTGTATTTGTATCTGTATTCAGAATAGGCGGGGCTTAAACTGTACATGGGCGGGGCTTAAACTGGAAGTTGTTCATTTAAGCCTGAATTTGAT